GCGTGCCGGGCCTAGTGAACGCCGCCCTGGGCCGTGAGGTGCTGGCGTCCAGCACGTGTGGCCGGCCGGCCACGCGGGCCTGCGACGCCTCGGACCCGCGGAGGGCGCATCCGGCTGCGCTTCTGACCACGGCGGCGGGCACGGCGGGCCCCCTGTGCTGGCGCTCCGACTCGCTGCTGCGGGCGCCCCTGAACGTGACCCTCACGGTGCCCCTGGGCAAGGCTTTCGAGCTGGTCTTCGTAAGCCTGCGTTTCTGCTCGCAGCCCCCCGCCTCGGTGGCCCTGCTCAAGTCACAGGACCATGGCCGCAGCTGGGCCCCGCTGGGCTTCTTCTCCTCGCACTGTGGCCTGGACTACGGCAGACTGCCAGTCCCCGCCAGTGGTCCGGCCGGACCAGGACCTGAGGCCTTGTGCTTCCCGGCACCCCAGGCCCAGCCTGATGGCGGTGGGCTGCTGGCCTTCAGCGTGCAGGACGGCTGCCCCCCGGGCCTGGAGTTGGACAGCAGCCCCGTGCTCCAGGACTGGGTGACGGCCACAGACATCCGCGTGGTGCTCACCAGGCCCGCTATGCTGGGCGCCAGCAGGGACTTGGAGGCCCTGGTCCCTTACACGTACTCGGCCACCGAGCTCCAGGTGGGCGGGCGCTGCAAGTGTAATGGACATGCCTCCCAGTGCCTGCTGGACGCCCAGGGCCACCTGGTCTGTGACTGCCGGCACGGCACTGAAGGTCCCGACTGCAGTCGCTGCAAGCCCTTCCACTGTGACAGGCCTTGGCAGCGGGCCACGGCCAGGGACGCCCACGCCTGCCTTGGTGAGGCCCTGGAGGGTGGCCTGGGGAGCTGGGACCGGGCCGGCCTGGCCCTGACACCAAATTTCCCGGCAGCCTGCTCTTGCAACGGCCATGCCCGCCGCTGCCGCTTCAACATGGAGCTGTACCGCCTGTCAGGCCGCCGCAGTGGGGGCGTCTGCCTTAACTGCAGGCACAACACCGCAGGCCGCCACTGCCACTACTGCAGGGAGGGCTTCTACCGTGACCCAGACCGTGTGCTGAGTGACCGCCACGCATGCAGGGGTGAGCCTCTTGCCACCTTGGGATGCCCCATCCCTCCAGCTGGGCCTCTTCCCAGCCCGGGACTGACAGGGGCCCTTCCTTCCCCCTCTGCCCTCAGCCTGTGACTGTCACCCTGTTGGGGCTGCTGGCAAAACCTGCAATCAGACCACAGGCCAGTGTCCCTGCAAAGATGGTGTCACTGGCCTGACCTGCAACCGCTGCGCCACCGGCTTCCAACAGAGCCGTTCTCCCGTGGCACCGTGTGTTAGTGAGTGAGCCTGCCCGGCCACCGGGGCTGAAACTGCCCACAGTTCCTCCGCCATCCCTTCCTGTGCCCTGCAACACCCCAGCCCCACCCACCGAAGGGATTCTTCCATCTTCTCTACAGAGACCCCTGCCCCTGGGCCCACTGAAGAGAGCAGCCCCGTAGAGCCCCAGGGTGAGTGGACACGGACCAAGGGGCTCAGGCTGGGGGCTGTGGGGGAGGGGCACGGGTTCTAGGAAGGGGAGAGGAGAGGGTGCAGGTTGGGGGCGCCGGGGAGCCGTGCCAGCCTCCTGCCCTCCCCCAGACTGCGATGCCCACTGCAAACCTGCGCGGGGTAGCTACCGCATCAGCCTGAAGAAGTTCTGCCGGAAAGACTATGGTAGGCCATCCCTGGCCACCCGCCCGCCACCTCCTGCCTCCCCACTGTCTTTTGCGTGTCCCGACCCCCGGGGGATCCGTACCCCCGCCAAGGGTTCCCGCTGTCGCTGGCCCCTGCCCCTGAATCTTCCTCTGGGGGGTCTCTCCGTAAGTGACCAGAGCGCCTCCGCGCGGCCCCGACCCCGCCTCTCTCGCTCTCCCCGCAGCGGTGCAGGTGGCCGTGGGCGCGCGCGGCGAGGCGCGCGGCGCGTGGACGCGCTTCCCCGTGGCTGTGCTCGCCGTGTTCCGGAGCGGCGAGGAGCGCGCGCGGCGCGGGAGCAGCGCTCTGT